CCCTCTGAGATGTTCAAGAAGGCGGCCAGCAGCGCCCGCTCACCTCGTAGCGCGTGGCAACTTACAGAAAAAGAGAAAGCCTCTATCTTGATGACTCCAGCAAAAATCCAGGGAGTGCCCCTCAAGGGCTTGATTTGAGTCAGGTGTTCATTTTGAACCACTCACTGAGGGGAGAGAGAAGCAGCGTGTTCTGACTTGTTACGTCTGGATCACATGCCCTCTCCACCCCCAGCTGAGGACTGGGGTAATCTTCATTTTTTCTTTAAATATTTATTTATTTAATTTATTTATTTATTTTGGGGGAGACGAGGAGGGAGAGAGGGTGAGAAACATCAACGTGCAAGAGAAACATTGATTAGTGATCGAACCTGCAACCCAGACGTGTTTCCCTGACCAGGTATCGAACTGGTGACCTTTTGCTTTGCGTGACAATGCCCACCTCACTGAGCCACACCGGTCAGGGCTGAGGTAATCTTTATTTTGTCCGCATTGATGAGGAGGGTCTTCCTCAAAGGAACACTGAGGGCCTGCAAGGGTTCCTGGGCTCCATCCCCGCGAGTGTGCCGAGGCTTCCCCACACTGACCAGCCGTCCTCAGACACCAGATCCCGCAGGTAAAGGGCTCAGTCCCGCAAGGCTGCCCTCCCCTTCACAGGCCAGCCACAAGTCCAAATTATTACCTGGGCTTCTCACCGACTGCCTATGGAGGGTTCCTCTCCTTGCGTTTGACTAATTTGCTGGAATGGCTCACAGAACTCAGGAAAACTCACTCTCACTCACTCGATTACCAGTTCATTACAGAGGATATTAAAGATTACAAACCAACAGCCAGGTGAAGAGATATGGGGTGCAAAGTTCTGAACAAAGGAGCTTCTGTCCTCCTGGAGCTTGGGGCCCTGGGCCATGGCCCGTGGAAGTATTTCCTCCCCCAGCAGGGCAGCTCTCCTGAAAAAGGGCCAACGAGCTGTCCTTTGGGGCATTATGGCAGCTTCATTACATAGTCACGATTAAGTCAGCGATTTGCAGCCGGTGTGCTGCAAGAATGATTAAAACATGCAATACCTGACTACTTAGCTGCACTGGCCTGTTTTCCGATAGACTGTCAAATTAAAAAAAAAAAAAATGACAACTGCCAATACAATGCTAGCTGTCTGATGTGAATGAATCAAAATTATATCTATTTTTTGTCAGATCAGCAAAACGCATATTTTTGGTGTGCTTCAGAATTTTAGTAATTAGTTTATGTGTGCCATGAGATAAAAAAGGTTGAAAATCACTGGACTAAGCCAATTATGAAGATCTCTTACCTTGACCAGAGATTGGTTTAGGGGTGTCAGGTGACCCAGCTCTGCCCAGTGAGCTATGAGTGGAGGGCTGCTTGGGATTTTTGTGTGGTAGATTTCTTCATTTCAAAAGATTTATTGGAAGGAAAAGTCTTCTCATTGAAGTTTATGTGATTTGTGGAGCTGTGGCAACCCTAATGTGACTATGAGGGAATCAGCCTGAAGGTTTGCACACTGAGGACCAGAGAAAAGAAAAAAGAATATCTTGGGTTATTTCTTGATGACATTGTCAGATCACTGAATGCACCGCTCCTGGAGCCTCTCTATCTGATCCCTTGTGGCGTGACATGGTGACTCTGAGCGCCCTTACTGCGTACATCAGCTTGGTTTCTCCAAGGCGTCCTGCCGGCGCCAGGCCTCCAGCTCCTCTCACCGCCCTGGGGGGGTCTGCTCAGGATTCACGGCCCTGGGGAGAGCACCCACTGGCCAAGTTTAGGTCTATTTTTTTTTTCAATTAAAAAAATTCAACCAAACACATTTGAAGACCTAATTGGCTTTATGAAGCAATTCATGAGTTGAGCAGCATCCCATCTAGCAACGAGAAGTATGCTCTAAGGGGTTGTACAAAATAGAAGGACTTTATAGGAAGGAGGGTAGGCAAGGGAGCTCTTAGTGAAAGAAAAGAAAGGATTATTTTTGGGCCGGACATCTTTCCTTTGGGGAAAGAGAAGAGGAAGCGTTTCTATTACAAAGATTGCCTCTTCTTTCTATAGGGGATGGTGAGGGCCTATGTGACCGGTGCTTGGCCAGAAGATTCCGGACTGGCTGATTATGTTTCTGGGAGAGGATGAGGCTCCAATTAGATCAGGTATTAAATCTAGGTTTGGCATCATGGGCTTTTAGCACAAGTGATGCCATTGTGGCCTACGGTTTTGTTTTTGTTTTTTTTTTTAAGCAGGCCCCTCTGGCTTTGCTATGATAGGGAGAGGAGGACTTGGTTCATGGAGGCTCCCACAGTGGGAGACGGTCATTAGAAATGACCCTTTCACCACACAAAGGGTGAGGATTAACCCACACAATAGAAACTAGGGGACAAGAGGAAGAGGAAGGGTAACAGATGTTGAGCATCCAAATCACCACGAATGTCCGTCTTCAGCCCCAAAGGATATTACAGCCCATCTTGCATTTCCAGCGAAGCAACCTGTGCTTACTCAGCACGTTCCCCGACTGGCATGCTGCATCCAGGCTTCTGGGAAGCTGCATTACTCAGTCTGCTTGGAAGCCTCCTCCCAGCCTCCGATCCCTTACTCATCGTGAAGACCTGTTCGTTCCAAAGGCCCTTCCATTCCGAGGCAGGAGGAGCCAACATGGGCCTTGCCCTGGGCCACAAGTCTGTGCTCGGGTACAATCAGGAACAGACTAAGACGCTTTCCCTGTAATGAGCTTGTCTAAAGCTGGTTTCGTTTTCTGTTACCTTTGAAAACAATTGTTGAAAAGGTGCCCCTACTTCTCTGGCCCTCCACTGGCTGGGTTTATGTTCCCCGAAGTCTTCCTTGGCCTCTCTTCCTGCAGAACTAAGAAACTGCTACATTCTGTCTCTACTTCATTTCCCACAGGTTATTTTGTATCAGTCCGGACTCTCTTAGGAGAGGAACAGAAATCCCTTCAAATTGGCCTTACTGGTTCAGGTTACCAAGAATTCTTGAGGGTCGGGTTTTAGCGTCCAGGCTCTCCAGCAAAGTCACCAGGGATCCATCCATCTGGACTAGTTGTCAAACGCTGGGTAACAAACCACCCTAAAACTTATGGCTTCAATCAACAATTACCATTCCTCCCAGTTGCTGAGGTTCAGGAATTCAGGAGCAAAAATAGTATGTTAATTATGCCTTAATAAAAACAAACTCAGCGGGACGGCCCCGGCTCGAGGTCGCTCCTGGGGCTGCAGGGCCCACTTCCAAGGCGGCCCCTTCTCACGGCATCAGACTGGCACTGTCTCCCCACACAGGCCTCTCGGCAGGGCTGCCTGGGGGTCCCCCCGGCGCGGCTGCGGGCCTCCCCCAGAGTGAGCGATCCGAGAGACCGAGGCAGAAACCGCCATGCCTTTATGACCCGGGCTTGGAAGTCAAACACGATCGCTTCTGCTGCATCCCCTTGGACACAGCACAGCTCCGACTCAGCGTGGGGACAACTGAACAGCGTGGGGACACAAGGGCATGAGTCACAGGCGCTGTGATCACGGAGGACCGCCTTGGAGGCTGCCTCCCACATTGTCCCTGGCCATTCCTTCCCTGTTCGCTCTGCTTGTCAGCTATGTGAGACTTCGCTCTCAGGCAGGCCTTCTCCAGGCAGTGACAGAGATGACCGCCGACGTCTCCAGGCTCCCACTCTTAGCGGCTCCAGCGGGAAGAGAGGACCCCTTTCCCAAAAGCTCTGGTGAGAAAGTCCCAAAGCTGACTCTCACCAGACAAACTCGTGTGGGCTTCTCCCTCAACCCCACCCGCCCTGCGGCCTGCAGGTGCAGGGATCTTACTGGTCAGCCCGAGGCCACGCCCCCAGCCCTAGGATGAAGGGCAGAGCGGGCCGCTCTAGAGACCCATCAAGGGAATGAAGGAGTGGTTCTCAAAGGAAAAACGAGGGCGCCGTTCCTGAAGCAAGGTTAATGGATGCTGGGTAGGAAAAACAACACCTGTTCACCCCACCTCCCTCCCTTGTGCTCCAAAGGCACATTTTAGCACCCCTCGTTTTAGCGTTTTCTGGTGGGATCCTTTACTTTCTTGGGTCTGCTTTCTGTGGTTGGTAGAATTCTCAGATGGCCCCCAAGATGCCCACCCCTGCTGTACGCTTACCTCCCCCAGTTACTCAGCCAAACACTGATCTAGATGCTTCTATGGGAGAGTGCTGCCACTGTAATTAAGGTCCCAAACCCGCTGACTTTAAGAAAGGGAGGTTCCCCTGGTGAGCCCAGCCTGGCAGCCAGCTCTCAAAAGGAACGATGCTCCCCCGGTAGAGAGTCAATGCGTGAGAGAGAGTCAACGTGGCGGAGCCTCTGCCGCCGGCTTGGAAGGTGTCGGGGTCACGTGGCCGGAAATCCAGGCACCTCCTAGGAGCTGAGGTGGGCCCTGGCCGACAGCCTGCGAAGAAACAGCGACCTCAGTCCTGCGGATGCAAGGAACTGAATTCTGCCAACCATCTGAATAGCTTGGAAGTGGGTTTTCTCTAGAGCCTCCAGAGAACTCAGCCCTGGTCTCACTGTTGTGGGACCCTGAGCAGAAAAACCGGTCACGTAGTGCCAGACTTCCACCCTATGAGTCTGTGAACACATAAATAGATGCTGTTTTAAGTTGTGAAGTTTGTGGTTCATTTGAGGCAGCAACAGAAAACGAATGCACTTCCCAATGGACTCCAAGATCCCGACAGCAGGGAGCTTCTCTTGGGTCTCCTTCGCCTCCTCCCCCGAACGGTACCTGGAAGACAAGAAGTCCCTCTTCCTGAGTCCAGTCCCAGCGTCTGGGAAAGAGACAGGGAACCAGCCCATCATTCTACCCCGACCCCCAGCTGCCAGCTCCCTGCTCGCAAGGCGCCTCCCAAGGAAGTCGCTCTGCTTGGCTGTCCACCAGCGGTCTGTGCCCCCGCAGGCCTGGGAGGGCGGCTTGACCAGCCCCCGCTTCCCACACCTCGGGGACCTTTGGCCAGTTCCATTGATCCGGACTCCTGGGCGGGCGAGCGGTCGAAGCCACGGACAGACGCCATGAGGGCTCTGCTGCTCCTGGGGCCTCTGCTGCTGAGCCTGGAGCCGGTGCTTCCGGTGAGGGCTGCGGGAACCTGCAGGGCTGTGCTGTGGGGGGGGGGGGGGTGGCCCTGGGGTCCCGGTCGCAACCCGGCCTCTGCCCGTGCCCTGCTGGTCGGGTGACGGGAGGGCCTGTGTGGAAAGGCAAGGTCAGCCCTGGAGGCCCGGGCCCGGGAGAGAGACGCCAGAGCCGGTGGATCTGAGGGTGCAGCCTGCGCTGTTAGAGGAGAGGGTCCCTGGCGGGGAGGGGGAGGACCGGTCCGGGTCTTGCGAGGAAATCTCTGCATTTCTGGGCTGTGAGAAGGAGCTGGGGACCAGCATGGGACCAGGGGCGGGCTACGGCTTTCCAGGCAAATTCCCTGTCCTCTCCCCTCCTCCTGTAGACTCCACCTTGGAAAGGCCCCAAGGGGCACAAGCAGAAGCGCAGGGCGGATGAACAGGCCGTCGGTGAGTAGCCCGGCTCTGCCTCGTAGGATGCCCTCGGGTGGGAATGAGTGTGGATGGGGGTGTGCCAATGGTCAGCGAGGGGCGGGATCCTGGGCACAACCGCACTCTTGTCCCCAGGGTATCTGGCTGGCATTCAGGCCGGCACTGATCAGGGCGCCAGGTCTGTGCCAATGGGCGCTGGGGCCCAGAGTGCGCATGCGCTGCAGGCTCCTGGCGGGCGGGGCGGGGCGGGGCTGGGCGGGGCTGGGCTGCACGTGAAGGCCCGCTCCAGCACCTGCCAGTTTTCCTGTTTCCAGCCGCCCCTGTTCTTTTCCTTTCCTCGATACATCTTGCAGGCATTGGTCATGCCACACAAAGGCCAGGGTCCTTGATAGACAAGGAAAGATCAAGAGCAGGGCTCTGGAGCCCAAATGCCTCTGAGCAAGTGACTTGATCTCTCCAAACTCCAATTTCCCCAATTGTAAGACCAGGCTGGCTAGAATAAACATCTTAGGGTTGTGGAGAAGGAGCAATGACTCCTAAATCCATGTGAAAGCACTCAGCTCACTGAGCATTGTCAGGTGCCGGTCAATGCTTAAAATACGTTAGCTTTTCTAATTAAGCCCCCTTTGAGGTAAGGGTGTCTGCCGTCTCCCCCTCCTCAAACCCCACCATAGCTCCCCATTGCCTTTGTTCTCCCGGGCGCTAAATGCTCACCTGGAGTTGGGAACCGATGGCCCTGCCCTGGCGAGCCCGGCTGGTGGGGTCAGGCCTAGCCCCTCAGCGTGGCTCTGCGGCCCAGCACCCAGCTCTGACCGCCTCAGCCTTCCCTCCTCATTGCCCTGCCCCCAGCCAAACTGCTCCCTGCCCTCGTGTCTGATCCAGCCTTGGTGCCCTGCCCTTGCCTAACCACCTACCCAGGAAGCTCCTCCTCTCTGTCCATCCCATTTGCCTCTTAAAAGTCCATCTCAGGCCCTGGCCAGGTATCTCAGCTGGTTAGAGCATCGCCCCGATACACCAAGGTTGGGGGTTTGGTCCTTGGTCAGGGCACATTCAAGAATCAACCAATGAATGCATCATAAGTGGAGAGACAAATTGTTTCTCTCTCTCAAATCAGTGAATTAAAAAGTGTTTTTGAAAAAGTCCATCTCAGACCCCTCTCTCTTCCTTTACTGTCCTGTCACTGGTTTGGCCTTCAGCAAGGGCCTCTGTGCATTTAACAGCAAAAGAGCAGCTAAAGCTCGGCGAGCAGGCACTCCGCGCCAGACTCCGTGCCAAGGGTTCCACAGGCGCTTTCTCACTCAGCCTTCGCATGCTCCTCTAAGCAGATGCAGACAATTCTTGGTATTTGTGTTAGTCGCTGTGAACACTGACTTCGCTACACTGAACCATGGCTCCTAGAAGAAATAGAGTCGGGTTCCTGTGAGTCTCTGGTCAGAAAGTTTCTGTCAACTGTCGATATATAACCTTGTGTTATGTGAGGTTCTGTTTGAAGACCCCTTGCTTAATGTGTATCGTTGACTGATTAACACTGAACTCCCAGCCAGCGGCACTGTAACTCACGCCTGGACGACACTCGTCTAAGACCCGCGTCCTCTCGTCCTCTCCGTGAGGCACAGCACAGCCCGCTTGCCCCGGAACATAGCAGTCTGGCACAATGGAGGCCATTTTCAACAACAAAAGCACAAAATGTGAAAAGTGTGGCGCCACATAGACTGCGAAGAGGACACGTTTAGAGCAGGAGAGCTGAAACAAGGAGTGTCACCTGGTTTGACCTCAGCTGGGAACGGGGGCTTCTCTGTCGACTCAAAATTTTTACCATTCTGTGCATGTCTGTGAATGACCGTGAAAGCCTCTGGAGAACTGATTTGGGTTTTACAAATAAATTTTAGCGAGAAGGCAGATTCGCAAATGCAGAATCTGTGAACCATGAGGCTTGACTGTGCTATTTTTAAAATTATAATAGCCATGTGTGTGTGTGTATGTATATCTATATCTATATCTATATCTATCTATATATATATCTCCAAAACTTTAGAAATTACAACAATGCAAAAGGAGAAAAAAGTCGTCCATAATCCACAATCTTCTAAAAACCACTCTTGAAAATTTTGAGAATGTCCTTCTACATTTCCTTTTAATGCATATGTACATGTATTTGTACAAAAATAGGACCATACTGACATGCTGTTTGTAACTTGCTGTTCTTTAAAAATGATGAGTACCTTTCTGTGTCAATACACATACAGCATCATTTAAATTTTTTTTATAGCGATAAAATACACAAAACCTAAGATTTACTGTCTTAACCATTTCTAAGTGAGCAATTCGCAGGCATTAAGAACACTCACTTTGTGCAACCCCCGCCACCGCCCGCCCCCAGAACTCTCCGTCGTGCCACACGGCAGCTCCTTGACTCTGCTATTATTGCCACTTACAGAGGAGGGGACTGAGGCTCGGAGCGACCAAGCGACTTCCACATTCAACAAGTATTTATGAAGCGCCTACTGTGTGTCAGGCAATCTTTTCAAGCAGGGGGTGCTGGCTTGCGCGAGGCCACACAGCTCGCAGGTGCTGGAGTCGGAGCCGCTCCAGCTGTCTGACTCCAGGGCCCCATTTCTTAAGCAGGATGCCTGAGGGCACAGCGATCTTTTCCGAGGGCCTATCCTTTTTCAATGAGACTCTGAGGGTGGTGCCTGGGAGGCTGGGCACAGGAGTGCCATCAGAATGTGTTATCCCTGCAGTTCTCACTGTCACCGGAGAGCCCTGCCACTTCCCCTTCCGGTACGAACGGCAGCTGTACCACAAATGCACCCACAAGGGCCGACCTGGCCTGCGGCCCTGGTAAGATGGCCCAGAAGGGGTTGGAGCAGGGCCTGGGGAGATGGACGCTGCCCCCCTTCTCCCTAAGGAATCTGCTTGGAGAGAGGAGGCTGTGACAGGGAAGGGTGGGCCAGTTGCACAGGCGAGCAGGGAGCTTGTCTCTTTCCCCAGGTGTGCTACTACCCCAACCTTCGAGCAGGACCAACGATGGGCGTACTGCGTGGAGCCCAAGACAGTGCAAGGTGCCACACATAGCCCCTGGCGTGGCCCAAGGTCCTCTCCTCCCCCTTGGTTATTCTCCTGGGTCTCATCAGACCCTACACACCTGGGATTCTGGGCCCACCCGGCCCCTTCCTTGCTCCAGGGGAAGACGCTTGGGGAGGAGGTAGCCCCATTTTGCATGCGGATAAACTAAGGCTGGAAACAAGGTAAAAAGACAAGCAGGTTTGGGCATGGACTTGGCCCCCATGTGTCTAACTCGGGCTCCCCACCCTTCCCTGCACGGTGTCCGCGTCTCAGACCACTGCAGCAAACACAACCCCTGCCAGCAGGGAGGGACCTGTGTGAACACTCGAAGGGGCCCCCACTGCCTCTGTCCAGAACACCTCACCGGGAAGCACTGCCACAGAGGTAAGGAGATGCTGGGGGGTGGTTTGGGGAACAGGAGCAGCCCCCACCTACTGAGGAGGTCCCAGGACCCTCAGAGACCTGGCAGGGTCCCAGCCTCTCCTGAGACCATCACCTTACCTTGTTCCCAGAGAAGTGCTTTGAGCCCCAGCTTTTCCAGTTCTTCCATGAGAATGAAACATGGCATAAGCTGGAGCCGGCAGGTGTGGCCAAGTGCCAGTGCCAGGGTCCCCAAGCCCACTGCAAGCCGCTGGCCAGCCAGGGTGAGTGGGTTGGTTGGAAACCAGCCAGGAGGAGAACCAAAGGTCAGAGGTCGGGAGAAGGGAGCAAAAGCTGGCAGAGGGCCGGGTGGTGAGTCTATGGAAGGTGGAGAGCTCTCCGTGGGGTTTTTGGGCCCAGAGGTGGCTCAGTGCGCTCCTTCTCCCAGTCTGCCGCAAGAACCCATGCCTCCACGGGGGCCGCTGCCTAGAGGCGGAGGGCCACCACCTGTGCCGTTGTCCCAAGGGCTATGGAGGACACATCTGCGACGTGGGTGAGTCCTGGTCAAGCGGGAGGCAGAAGCCTCACCCCCACGAGGGGAGGGCTCATGGAGAGGAAGAGGGAGGAAAGTGAGAGCTGAGAGCCGGGCGGGAGACTATACTACCTGTTGGCTGCAGGGAGCCTCCTGTCTCCCCAGACCTTGAGGCCAGCTGCTATGAAGGCAGAGGAATCAGCTACCGAGGTGCCGCTGGGACCACGGTCTCGAACGCACAGTGTCAGCCGTGGACCTCGGAGGCCACCTACCGGAACCTGACGGCAGAGCAAGCACTGAACTGGGGACTGGGCGACCATGCCTTGTGCCGGTGCGCTGGGTGGGGCAGGACAGAGTGACCCCTTCCTCCTCAGGTCCCTCCGAGGCTCCCCATGCTCTAACAGTGTCCTCTCTGGTGCTTCCAGGAACCCGGACAATGACACCCGCCCGTGGTGTTTCGTGCGGAGAGGTGCCCGGCTGAGCTGGGAATATTGCAGCCTACCACGGTGCCAAGCTCCAGCACCCGCAAAGCCCCGGTCCCCGCTTCCACCCCAACCCCGCCACGAGCTCCTGGGCCACACTATGCCGTTGGTTTTAGCAACTGCCAAACCTCTGCTCAAGCCTGCAGGTAGTTAGGAAGGGGGCAGGAAGACCAAGCAAAGGGGGCGCGGGTGAACTATGTTCCAGCCACTCGTGGGTTTCCCTGGCCTCAGCCCGAGCTCCTCCACAGTCTCGCGCCCGCCGAGGACCGAACCAGTGGGCTGTGGCCAGCGGCTCCGGAAACGGCTGCCCTCACTGAGCCGTGTCGTCGGGGGACTGGTGGCGCTGCCCGGCGCGCACCCTTACATCGCCGCGCTGTACTGGGGCCACAATTTCTGCGCCGGCAGCCTCATCGCCCCCTGCTGGGTGCTGACCGCGGCTCACTGCCTGCAGAACCGGCCAGTACCGCCTGCCCAGCGCCGGCTCGGGACTCGGCTCCCTGCCCCTGGGCCTAGCTTCCGCGCGGCACGCGAACCCCTGCCCTGTTCTCCCTGCTTTTCCCTCCAGAGTTTCCCCGGAGGAAGCTGAAACCCAGGAAGGGGCTCGGGAACCGGAGAGGGGTGGGCGGGTCCTCCAGGCCGCCCGGGCCGGCTCTGAGCGCGCATCCTCTCCCCACTACGTCCACAGGCCGGCGCCCGAGGAGCTGACTGTGGTGCTGGGCCAGGACCGCCATAACCAGAGCTGTGAGCAGTGCCAGACACTGCCCGTGCGCACGTACCACCTGCACGAGGCCTTTTCGCCTGTCACCTACCAGCACGACCTGGGTGCGTGGGGGCGCCCCGTGGGGATCAGGGGCCTTGTGAAGAGGGCTCGGAGGCCGGCGTGAGGGGTCTCACGCTCCTCTCCGCCCGGGTTAGCGTTGGTGCGCCTGCAGGAGAGCGCGGACGGCCGCTGCGCGCGCCTGTCGCCCTCCGTGCGGCCCGTTTGCCTGCCGAGCAGCGCCTCCGACCCCACGGAACCCGAGGCCGTGCTCTGTGAAGTAGCCGGTTGGGGTCACCAATTCGAGGGTAGGCAGAGCCGCTGGGGGCGGGAGGGAGCCCTCTGGCCCCCGGGATGGAGGGAGGGAAGCCCGCCGCTTTGATACCACCAAGGACAGGCGGCGCCCACCTACTGGGCTGTGAGGACGTGCGAGCCCTCGTTACTGCAGCCGCTCCTCCCAGGGCCTCGGGTTCGCTGTTGGAGACTCCCAAACAAATAAGGGGCAGGGGAGAGTCACACTTCTCTGGGTTCCCACTTGCGCCCGGCCGCAAGGTTAACCAGGACCCGGCCCTGCGCCCGAGCGGCCTGGCCGGGAGGGGGCGTGGGCTTCCGACGCAGGGCTGCCCGCCCCGCCCAGCCCCGCCCAGCCCCGCCCCGCCCCGCCCCGCAGCCTCGGGCCTCCGCTTTCTGGTCCATGAAATGGGGTTACCGGCAGCTCTCTCCCCCACGGGCTTGCCGCGAGCGCGGCCGGTGCCCAGCAGGTCAGGTCCCTGCCCCGCCGCGAGCGGACCCGGAGGGGAGTGAGGAACACGCTCTCGGCTCGCAGGGGCGGAGGAATACGCCAGCTTTCTGCAGGAGGCGCAGGTGCAGCTCATCCCCCGCGAGCGCTGCTCCTCCCCCAGCATGCACGGCGCCGCCTTTGCCCCCGGCATGCTGTGCGCCGGCTTCCCCGAGGGCGGCGTGGACGCGTGCCAGGTGAACCCTCCGCCCGCTTGGCGCCCTGCCCCCACCCCGTCAAGCGCAGACCCCAGGCCAAGGGCGCTGAGCCTTGTGTCCTCGACCCAGGGTGACTCCGGGGGCCCGCTGGTGTGTGAGGAGGAGACCGCAGAGCGCCAGCTCGTCCTGCGAGGCGTCGTCAGCTGGGGCTCGGGCTGTGGCACCCGCAACAAGCCGGGTGTGTACACCGACGTGGCCAACTACCTGCCGTGGATCCGGGAGCACACCGCTTCCTGACCGCCCGGGAACGCGTCTTCCGCCTCGGCGACTCTGGAATGGGAAGGTGGCCGGACACGATCCTGGACGGCAAGGATGGTGCTCCAGCGCCGCCCTCCCCGCGCCAGGCATGGCATAAACAATCAATAAAGCGCTTTTGGCAACGCGTGAGAGGCACAACTCCCTCCACAGCCCCCAGAGAGCAGATCTTATGCAAGATTTAGATGCGTGTCCAGCCGACGTTCACTGAGCCCGGTGTACCGAGCCCCGTGCACAGTGACTCCACGCGTCATTCCTCACATGAAACATTAATACTTTGTTTATGGAGAACTCCTCAACCTCAGCTGTACATCACAATTGTCTGGAGAGCTTTTGGAACCTATGCCCAAGATCCACCTCGGATCAATTAAGTCAGCACACATCTCTAGGGATGGGGTGTGGGCAGGGGCATGTTTTAAAAACCCTCTGGGTGATTACATGTGCAGCTGGGGTTGAGAACCATGGTTAGAAATGCTCGACCTTGTAATAGTGGTGTGGACCCTTGGCAACCAATGTGGAAGTCCCGCTCCTCCGTCCAACCCGCACCAGGGCAGTGGGTCTCAAGGTGCAGTCCCCGGGACCAGCAACAATGGTGTTGCCAGGGAACGTGTTCAAAATGCCTACTTGCACGGTACACGCCATACTGCTGAACCAGAAACTCTGAGCTGGGGCCCAGCAATCTGTCTAAGGGCTCTCCAGGTGATCCTGATGCTCCTAACCTTTGAGAACCATGTTTTGGGACCAGCAGGAGAGGACCGACTATCCAGAAGTGGCATCTTTTTTGTTTTCAAACCCATGTGTAATGTGTTTGATGGGTCATCTAAGTGGGTTTTCAAGGATTATTTTGACTCTCAGGCGATCCCCTCCCTCAGGCTAAATTTGAACTTCACCAGGTGTAAGATACAGCCCGGCACTCATTCCGCCGCAGGAGGTGGCTGCTCTGTGACGTTGCCTTCCTCAACGTCACAACCCCGCCCCCTGCCGGTCACGGTGCCACGGGCGGTTTAGGCCGGAGCAGCCCCACATCCCTCGAAAGTACAAGGCGAGGGCTGTATTTGGAGCTCGAATGGGCGAGTGGAAAGGCTACATCAGTGCGGTGCTGCGCGACCAGCGCATTGACGACGTGGCCATCGTTGGCCACTCAGACAATCGTTGCGTGTGGGCATCACGGCCCGGGGGCCTGCTGGCAGCCATCTCACCGCAGGAGGTGGGTGTGCTCACGGGGCCTGACCGGTGCACCTTCCTGCAGACGGGCCTGACCGTGGCAGGCCGCCGCTGCTGCGTCATCCGAGACCACTTGCTGGCCGAGGGCGATGGCGTGCTGGACGCGCGCACCAAGGGGCTGGATGCGCGTGCCATCTGCGTGGGCCACACGCCACGCGTGCTCCTCGTGCTCATGGGCCGACGGGGCGTGCATGGAGGCATCCTCAACAAGACGGTGCACGACCTGATCAAGTGGCTGCGCACTCAGGGCATCTAGCAGTACAGCCAAGTTGGCAACCGAGCCACAATAAAGGCAGACCTGGGCACGGCAGACTCATCCTCCCGTTGTGTGGGGGGAGGGGAGTGTTGCTGGGGACACTGATTTCCCGGAAGATCCTTGCAGAAAGGTTACCCGGTAGGGTTGGGATTGCGTGTCCAGAGGCTTCCCAGCCCACGGTGCCCTAGACCTGGCCCTCCCATGGGTGCCCTGCAGAGGCCTCTGCCTGACTCCCCAGACCAGAGTCAGGGGCTGGGGAGGGGGCGTGGAGCCTTCCCAGGGCCCTAGAGACACTGCATCTGAGCAAGAGCCTAGGGAGCAGCCTTCTCAAACCCTCTAGCTCAGAGCCAACATCCTTTCCCACAAAACTGCCCACCCCCCTTGCCCTGGATGGATAGTGTGGCTCAGTGGAATGGGTGTGGGTCTGGGAATGAGAGGTCGCTGGTTCAATTCCCGGTCAGCACACATGCCTGGGTTGCTGGCCAGGTCCTTGGTTGGGGGCATGTGAAAGGTAACTGATGGGTGTTTGTCTCACACATCAATGTCTCCCTCTCTCCCTCCCTTCCCCTGTCTCTATAAGTAAATAAATAAAATATTAAAAAAAAATCTTTCCCCATGACCTGTAAAGGGAGTCTCCTCCCCACCCTAACCCTACTTGCGTGGTAGGTCAGCACACTTCTCGCCCTTCCGCTCGCCAGGAGGAAGCACTAGCAAGGGCTGCGAATGAGCGACAGGGTGTGGCCAGTAGCTTGGGGTTCATCCCAGGGCCTTGCATTTCCCCCGCTACCTCAAGGGGGGTGGGACCTCAGCGGGTATGGGGTGGGGTGAAGGAATATGTCCAAGACCATCACACCTGGGTCTGGGCCCCACAGCCTTCCTGTCTCCTTGGGGTCCAAAGGCTCCCCGAGATGTCCCAGGACTAGAGGGAGGAGCTTTGGCACCTCTTGCCCCCTGACCCTCTCCCTGTTAGGCCTCCGCTGGGGCTAGGGAAGGCTATGGAGGAGGAATTGAAAACTTGAGTGGGTTCAAATGAGGCATGGTTTATTGCCAAAGATAGAGGACAAAGGTGGAAGGAGGGGTGGCTGGTCCCGCTCCCTGTGTGCTGGGACACAGGGCATGGCTTCCCTTGGCCATCTCAAACCTCCTGGCCTCTCCCCAGTGGCCCTGATAAGCTGTCACAGTCACTTGCTTTTGGGGGAACTGATCTCATGCCCAAAAGAGGGAGGGAGGGAGCCAGTGAGGTGGGTGAGTCGAGAGACAAGGAGAAACCAGAGGAAGTCAGCCTGGTGGATTGGGGGATGGAGGCCGGAGAGCCTGAGGACACGTGCCTTGGGGGCTCTCGGGGAGGCTGAGCGGTGGCCTGGGCTCATTAAGGCAGGGCCCGGGAGGATCTCCCGGGCGCACAGTGGGCTGGCTCTGCCGGGCCCAGCGGCTGCCTCTGGCGGGACACGGGGTGCTGAGCCCCAGCCATGGCCTCTCCTCACAGCTAGGTGAGAGCAAACAGATTTTCAAATGCATAATGAAAGTTTAATTCCTTTTCTTCCCCCTTTAAATCAGGAGTGTTCGGAAGGGGTTGCAGTGGTGATGCAGAAAGCTGGGTGAGGATGAGAGCGGTGCTACGGAGGGAGGAAGCGAGGGGGAGGGAGGATTCAGCCAGTGGCGCAGGCGCCAACCACAGTTACGCATGCGCGAACAGCGGCAAGTCCCGTCCTCAGACCTACCCTTACTTCCACCCAGCCCAGGTGGACACAAGTATGGGCCTCCTAACACTTGCCCAGGACTGGAAGCCATGCCCAGGTAAGGCGCCCTGCGGCCTGCACAAGAGCCCCCACAGGTGCACCGAGATGCACACACGTGCGGGACGACACACAGACTCACACACCAACTCGCAGTCACATGGCCCCGACCCTTGGGGGCCTGCACAAGCCCAGGGCCCATGGACTCCCCGCCCCGCCCTTCCCCCATGGGCACCAGGCACAGGCGGTCGCCCACCCCAGGCGGTAGTCAGGGCTGCGGCCTAGAGGCGGGTGGCATTGTGGCGAGCAGGCAGGGCAAGGCGGGGGGAGGGCGTAGGGGGGGGCAGCTCCTCTAGGAAGACCCTGGCAGGCAGCGGGGGTGAGCGGGGCTCAGGCCTGGCACAGCACAGCGTGGCACGGGTGATGAGGCGGTCCAGGGGCTTGAGGGAATGCATCCAGGGGGGCAGGAAGTCCCACGTCTGCAGCCACTTGGGCAGGTGCCGCGGGCTGCGACTCTGCAGGACACTGACGAGCACCACGAAGGCCAGCAGGGCCACGAAGGGCGCGCCCACGCCCACCATGGCCCGCCAGCCGGCCATGGAGATGCCGAACACCAGCGAGGGCAGCAGCAGGAAGCACAGCAGGAGGTACAGGACGGCAAACCAGCGGTACTTGGCGGTGCGTTTGCCCAGGGCCTTGGCCATGCGGATGGGCAGGCGCATGCAGGGCACTGGGTACCACAGCAGGATGCCCGAGACGTTGAAGAAGAAGTGGCAGAGGGCGATCTGCAGAGACGAGGGCGAAGGAGCCGAGGTGGGCACGGACGCGGGAGCAGATGGTAGGGGCCCGGTCTGGTCTGGGAGGCAGGGAGGTCACCACCAGGGGGGATGTGCCCCCAGTAAAACACGGAAGCACTTCTGGGTCAGTGGGCAAATAACCACTGCCCTGAACTCTCCACGTCTCCCCCACAAGCCCCTCTCCCAGGAATGCCCCGGCGGACCCTGCCCAAACCCGGCGGCTGAAAGAGTCTTCCTCGTTTCCGTCTTAGCAGCCCTGGCCTTCCGATGGGCTCACACCCTGGCCCCAGCCCCTGGCTCGTCATTACGCGTTTGCTCCTAGAACAGGCACCCTCTGCCATGTCCGCCTACTCATGCTCGATCGCCCAGACCGGGCCAGGACCCTCTTACAGCATCCTCAGAGTGCACGTCCCACTCACTGTTTCCTGGTGTGACTCTGAGTCCCGTCTTCCTGATAGACACCAAGGCCCTGAGGTCGGCACAGCTCTACTTTGCCCCTAGGGCTGCCCCCGAACCTGGCGTAGCAGGTGGCCCCTAGTCAGCGGTCAAAACTCTGTCTTACGTCGTCCCACCCTGGGCCGGTGCCGTGCCCCAGCCCCAGCCCCAGCCCGGACCTCTCTCCGGCAAGGGCTACCCTCCCGGGCACACCTGGAAGGCGCTGGACAGCTTCTCCCGAGGGCTGGCCAGGGCAGCCAGGATGGCCGTGGTGGTGGTGCCGATGTTGGAGCCCAGGGTGAGGGGGTAGGCGCGCTCGATGCTGATCACACCCAGGCCTGGGGGCAGAGGGGAAGATGCGGTTGCCCTAGCTCCCCCCTCGGCCCTTTCCCTGCCGCCCAGTCCCCACCCCGCCGCGGGCACTCACCGATGAGTGGGGTGATGGCTGAGGTGAACACAGAACTGCTCTGGACGACGAACGTCATGCCGGCACCTACCACCATGGCGAAGTAGCCTGTGGCCCAGGTGAAGGGGGCGGGGAAGTCTGCGAGGAAGCCGTCCAGCAGGGTCAGCGCGGGGTGGGCGCTGGGACCGGGAGTGGGGAGGCCCCTTGGGGGAGGGCTTGGGCACCAGCTCCCAAGTGGGACCTTGTCAGTCCCCGGCTCAACTGTGATGGCTCCTGCTGGCCCTCTGATGCTGGAGTCAAGGCCCGTCTCAGCCTGGCCCCCTGGCGCTTGGCCCAGGCTGTTCCCGCCCCTAAATGTTTGCCCTCAGGGCTCAACACCACGTTGAGCTAGAAAAAGCCCGTGCTGGCCTGCCCTCGGGCGCTTTGTTCCGCCCTCCTCCCTCCTCCCTGCTCCCTTCCCTTCCGGCGTTTGCCCCGTGGCCTCTGTCTGAGCCAAGCAGTGTCCTGAAAAGCCCAGAATGAAGCTTAACCTGAAAATCAGATGGCATCACTCCCTGGTTCCCAACCCCCTAAGTGTCCCCGTCATCTTTCATAAAGCCCAGACTCAGCACGGCCCAGGGACCGCTCCTCCTCACCTCCCTGACCCGCCTCCACCGCCCTCCCCAAGCCAGCGCTGGCCACAGACTGCCCAGCTGCTTCCTGCCTCCGAGCCTTCGCACTTGCTGTGCCCCCCACCCAGAAGCAGCTCAGCGACATCCTGACTCCTTCTCATTCAGGTGTCTCTTCAAATGTCACCTCTGCACAGAGGCCACTGACCACCTAATGGGAGGAGTCTCTTCCACACTCCATGGTGTTGCCATTTTAGCTTTCTCCTTGGCTTATCCCCGCCCCAACTCCATCATTTGTTTTATTGCCCCCTGCGCCTCTAGGCTGTGAGCGCCCCGAGGGCAGGATCCATCTCTGTGCACCCACCCCTCTCCCTGCCCCCCCTACACCATGCTTGGCACGTGGTAGGGCCTTGATGAAAACGTGTTGATTCAATCAGAGGCCTCTGAAGGGCTCTTTAGAGCCACCTGCAGACAGATCCCCAGCCATCAGAACCTCAGGGGTCTCAGAAATCACCGGGTTCAGTCTCTCCTTTGTTCACAGGGGGAAACGGGGGCTTGGAGGTGGGGGGGCTTTCCCCAGCTCACGGAGCCAGGCGGTGGCGGGAGTCACTGAGACCTGAGGGGCCCATCCTGGGGCCTGCCCAGCACTGCCTGGTGCTCACCAGTGTTGATAACCTTCTGAATGACCTTGGCCACCTGGCCCTTGAGCAGAGAGTTGAGCATCTTGACGAGCAGGATGAGGCAGGTACATAGGAGCACCAAGGAGCCAGCCAGTAGGATGAGCCCCACGGCCAGGTCAGGCAGCCTCGTGTCCACGAAGATGTGGTTGCCTGTTGGGGGGGTGTCAAGCTGCTTAGAGCTCACCCCCCAGCTCCCAGCCCCCGACCTTTGCCACCCCCTTGGACTCAGAGCCTAAGGCCCTGCCTCCATCTCCTTAAACCTGACAGCAGGCCTGAGCCAAGCCAGGAACCGGGCTTGGGGGCAGCCACCCTTCCCGGGGGACAGCCCTGCCTCCGCCAGGCGCGGCCCCTGCCGGGCCGGGCCGCTCCCCTGCGGCAGGCACTCACACTTCTCCAGGCTGGCGTTGCCGAGGGTCCGGCTGCTGTTGGCCTCTGCCCTGGGCATGGGGGTGGGAGCCTAGATGAAGAGCAGAGTGGCTTAGGGAATTTAGGAAGATGCAGCCTGGCGTTGGGGCTGAGGTGGAGATTAGGGAGAGATGGGGCGGGTGGGGGCGGCACGGGGCCTGCGGGCTGCATGCCCTCGGGCGGCGTGCGTGCCCTGCCTGAGCCTGACCGCTCGGCTGCAGAGACCAGGGTGAAACACCTGCCGCGCAAGAGCCTGGCCCCGGCCAGCCCTCTGAACTTCTGCCCCATGAGCCCACTGAACTGGCTCGCCCTGGACTCACGGGGCCTGCTGACCCGGTGCCTTCTTGTCCTTATTTCTGCCACCTCTCCTTGGTGCGAGGCTGCTGCCCACGGTTCTCTTCTGAAATCTCCCCCTTTCCCGTTTTTATTACCAATCCTGCTCGGTGCCCTCTCGACCGCCGCATCTGTGGCCCCGCTGCTCATCTGAGGCCCAAGCTCTATTTTCCTCCTGCTCGCTTATCTGGAGAGGATTAGGGGGCAGGGGACCGCTGGGGGACACGGGGTCCAGGCCCCATGTCTCCTTCCTTCCCCGCTTACTACCGGGGAAGGAGGGGTGGTCCTGGGGAGGCCCCTCAAGTCAGAGGACCCAGGGCCAGACCAGCGGCCTCAGTGGGGGCGTCGCCAGAGGCGGTGAGGGCAGTGTGCTGAGTCTGCAGCGGCAGCAGCCTCTCAGCCCCAGGCCTCTGTCACTGACCAGGGACACAGCCCAGCATGGCTGAATGTCCTCATTCAACAAGAGAGGCCGCAACTCTATTGTTTTAGATAAAATCTCCCAATTTGTGGATGTCGACAACCACTGCAGGACATGCTTTACAATCCTGTGAAGGGCAGTCTGGTCTGGGGAGCATTCATTTGTAGCCTCTTTGGGCACCGCCCCTTTTCCCCAGACCCCAGCAGGAGAGGAGAAAGTGGGCGGGGCGGGGCGAGGGGGGGCAGAGGGAGGGGCGGGAGGGGGACCCAGGGGCCCAGGCCAAATGCAAGAGCCACAGCTGCTCCCTCCTCCCTGCAAACAAACTGTCCAGCCTGGTCTGGGAGCTGACCGGGTGCTGGTTCCATTGCCCCCGGGGCTCCTGGGCTCTGCATCCCACTCGCCTCAGGGTACGGGTGCAAGTGGGGCCCTGGCACTTTGATGTCACAGCTCCATTAGGTTGGATTTTAAACCGTGTCATTTAAAAAATGTATGATAAACATGAGACCTACTCAGGGCACCTGGCTTTCAGCTGGGGTTTATGTTAGCAGCAGGCCCTCCCTGGCACGGGCGACATGCTCGTCTGTGTTCCCAGCTGCCACACCGGAGCCTTGGGGCGCCCTCACGCAGGCTGAGAAAGCAGGAGGAAAGCGTCTCTGATGGGCTCGGTTAGAAAAGCCGGGCAAGTGGCAGGAACTGCTATGCAGGTGAAGGACAGAGCCAGTGTTTGCTGCCAGGCAGGTCTGAGTTCAAATCCTGGGTCTTACACCAGCCGCCTTGGGCAAGTCATGCCACCTCCCTGAGTTTGTTTTCTCTAGAGCAGGATAATAAAAGAGCTGTTTAAAAGGTTACAGGAGGAAATGTGTATGAAACGCTCACTTAAGGACTTAGCCCATGACAGTGCCTCCAAATAAGGACAGAGCCCTTCCCTTCCTGGGCCCAAGGCCTGGGAAGGGCGTGGAGGAGGGGAGGGGAAGAGAGAGAGAGAGAGAGAGAGAGAGAGAGAGAGATTGACCTCCTAGGTCAGGATCAATGCTTCCCTCGTGTAAGCCTGAGGATCTTGGCCCTGTTGGAGAGGACCTTGGTGGATCTTCCTTGCTGGAGTCCCCAGCCCGGTAACCCAGGAGAGGACCTTGGTGGATCTTCCTTGCTGGAGTCCCTAGCCCGGAAACCCAGGAAGCAGGTGGCTCTGAGATGAGTGGGGGAGGGGTCTGTGGGATCCTTCTCTGGGGTCCCCCTAGCAGCCCACAGTGTTGGGGCAGGGCGAGGGCTAAGGCCTTTGGGGTTTGGAGGCCCGCCCTTCCTGCCTTGGGCTGTGCAGCCCTGGCTGAGCTCACAGGGAAGTTCGGAGGCTGCGGAGGAAAGGAGGGGGAGGGTGGACGCTGCAGCCCAGATAAAGAGCTGGCAAGCCCAGGGTCTGGGGGGCATCCCCCCAGGATGTGGCTGACCCTCTGGGCCTGGAGGTGCGGTGGAGCAGGGTGGAATGTTGGGGGCACGGTGAGTGGAGGTGGTGAACTCTGGGAGGAACAGAGCGGTCGAGCCTCGGGCAGCCCTGGTGTGCCGCTCCCAGCGGTGTGACCCTGGACCGAACACACGCTCCCGGGGCTTCGGTTCCTCCCCCTGCAGCAGGAGGTTCGTCAGCCTGCCCACCTCTCCCAGGGGGGCGCTAGCTGTGAGGCGTCTCGGAAGAGAGAGTTGGGATTCAGATGCCTGCATAGCCATCCCAAATTAAGGAGGCACCTCTGGGAACTGAAGGAGATGATTAAGCTCACAAAGGAATTCCGGCTCCAAGAATCCTTTCCCCGGGGAGAAACGCCAGGCTGTAGGCCTGCGCACTCTTTTCCCCTCCAGGGGTGGGGCCCGGAGGGTCTTTGTTTCTGAAAGCAGAGGGAGATCACCGTGCCACCAGCGCCATCTGGTGGCGAGGAGGAGAACTCTTGAGAGCATCACCGGCCGCCCCTAGAGGGTCATCCGGGCGGCCGTCGTGGCCTGGCGGCACTCAGGTAGGATGGGCAGAATGGGCACAAGTGGTGGGGCACCAGACTGGCATCTGAGAGAGGCTGTGAGATGAAATTTTAGGAACACGGGCTCCAGAGTCCACCAGGATTGTCGTCCTACCTCAATCACATGGACTTGGGTAAGACTCTGAGGCTGTTTCCTCATCTGTAAAACAGGGACGTAGCATCGCCTGCTTCTCAAGCGGCAAGTCCTCACAGAATGCTCGTTGGAACCAGGCCGGTCTGGCTGGCACCCCACAGTGCGACCGCACAAGAAAGCGACTCCCAGGACAGTGGCAGCCCCCTGAGCGCCAAGAGGTGCAGGGGAACCAATATGGCCCCTGGTGTGTCTTTCACCACCTGGACGACCTCAGACACCCAGTCCTCTCCCCGGTGACACGGTCCGCTGGAGGCTGGGTTGGGCGAGGTCGCGTCAGCTTGGTGAAAGCTGGAGGCAATGGGACAGGCTGGACGGGCACAGGGAGACTGGGTGGCCGAAGCCAAACACGAGTCTGGAGACAGAGGAGCTGCCAACACACATCACCTCCTGAGAGCACAAGGCTGCAGGAACCATGTTCCCTCAGGGACGCCCCGAGGGCGAGCGAGAACAGGGAGCTCAAGTCCCAGCCCCTGTCGCTCTCCAAGCCAAGGACACTGTTCTTAAGACATCTCCTGGGAGAGCTGGGACGAGAAACCAGGGCTCAGGCGGGGACAGCGCGTGCAGCGGGGCAGCCAGCGGGGCGGGCAGCCGAGCGACCCTGGGCAGGCTGCTTCCCGTCTCATCCTTGCGTTCGCCTGGGGAGGGGGGGTTGCTCGGTCGGCCTCGCCAGCACCAGGTAAGGATTTCCTCGGGGAGGACCACATCCAGCGGCCTGTGCTGCAGTGGCCCTCCTGGGTGCAGGAGGGCAGCAGGTCTCTGAGCGGTGGGAGCCGCAGCCGCGGAGCCCCCTTCCACGCCTGTTTCATTGGGAAGATCAGGGCGTGTGATTTCTCTCCCACCAGGCTTCGCTGAAGTAGAGAGGGTTGTGATGATTTGGGGAGTTCAGGCAGGGTCCCCACCAGCCGCTGACGAGGTGGAGGTTGTTAGCGAGGTCACAAAGCCGGCATAAAAGCTGCCTGCGAGGGCTTCCTGGTGTCAGGCTGCCTCGAACGCTCAGCAGGGCCCGGCTGGAGCCCCGTGCCGCCCAGGTGCTGGGGAGCCGCGTAGGGCAGGGCGGAGGGTGGCTCTGCGCACGCCGGGGTAAAGGCTCGGTGACGTGGAGCAGCAAGTGGAGACGATGAGTCAGAAAGGCTTGGGCTTTGAGTTCCCTTCTGTCTTCTTCCGAACGGGGTTACTTCTTGTGTGTAATAACCAAGGAGAAGCAGGTACCAAGGTTATGGTTTTGATGAAGCTGTTTTCCACTGATTGCCAGGAGAGAAAGTGTGCTATTTGCCTGCTTCCTTGTTAGCTTAGTGTCACGGCCGATCCATGAGTGTCCAACTCATCCAAAGAGATCTTCATTCCGGGCAGTAGAAGCCAGGGAGCATCAGAAATAGTGCAGAGGGACAAGGGGACACAGGCCTGTGGGAGTCTCCAGGGGAAGGGCCCCAATGTCGGCACAAGGGGCTGCTGTGTCTCCAGGGAGGTGTCCTTGGGGCCCGCTTTTCCTGCTCCTGGGCCCGTACCTTGGCCATCCTGCTTTCCCAGGCATCCTTACTCTGTCCCTGCCCTCTCTCCACATACCTGGGCCCCAGACTCGGCAGAGCTGTGCCACTAACCCCCTGTCCCTCCGTGGGGAAGAGAGAGCCCTCGGCGGTGAGACCTGCGCTGGGGGCCCTGATGCTGTAGGATGAGCTGCAGCAAGCCCCTTAGTCTCTTGGAGCCTATTTCTCTACTTGTGAAACCAGAGGGTTGAGCCAGATCAGCGGTTCTTAAACTTGAGCGTGAAGCAGACAGAGGGCCTGTCGACATGAGGCTGCTGGGCCTCACCCCTGAGTGTTTTCTGATTTGGTGGGTGGAGGGGAGGGGCTGAATGCTTTGCATCTCTAACCGGTTCCCAGGTGGCACGGGTGCCACTGGTCCCAACTTTGAGAACCTCTGGGCTCGATCGATTAGGCGCCCGCTCTCATTGATTAGCAATGGCTGCCTCAAGCCGGCGTGAGGCGCCGTCTCACAGTAAAGGGGCCACGTCTTTGCTCTCCCCAAGCTAATGATGTCGAGGGTCTACCTGGAGCATTTTCAAAAGATGGTGACACTGACAGCAGAGGCCGATCTGTCCCCTGGGGCCGGACCTGTGACTCACCTCGGCCGGGTCTGGGTGGCACCAGATCCTGATGAGACTGTGGTTCCTCAGGGACTCGTCACCCAGGGCAATGCTGGTAATCACAGACTTGTCCAGCTGTGGGCAGGATGTGGGCACAGTGAGGGCGGGGCGCCGGCCAGGCCCGCCCCCTCCCCCCAGCCCCCGGCCCTGCCCCACCTGGATGATGAGCTTAGTGAAGGGCTCCGTGAGGATCTTAAGCAGGTCAGGGGCATCTTGGCCACCGCGGATGTTGAAGGAGGCCACCACAAGCCGAGTGAGGTGGTACAGGTACCTGGTGGCAGCCTCCAGGGGCAGCAGGACGAGGACTGACAGCCAGTTGAAGCAGTCGTGCACTGTGGCCCCCGCGAAGGCCCTGGGCAGGGAGGCCACATTGCAAGGTACGCTGGAGCCTGGATGCGCTTGTCCTGGGGCTCCTGGGCCACCCTCCCCCACACAGGGACCCCTCACCACTCCGCCCCCTCACCGCCGGAAGTCAGTCCTGTCCCCCGCCTGCATCAGGGCCACGATGGTGTTGGTGACAGAGGTGCCGATGTTGGAGCCCATGATGATGGGGATGGCAGAGCTCACCTCCAGCACTGGGGACGAGGGGGCTGCTTAGCTGGGTGGGTGGCGCACACCCAGCTCCTGCCCCACGGCACCTCCTGCCAGACCCACCCCCGTGTGCTGGCCCCCAGGGGGCACTCCTGCGCGGCGGCTGCTCTGCCTGGCCTCAGCGTCACAGGGACCTGTGGGCTCGTGCTGTGTGCTTCCGTGTATGTGAATGCATGTGAACCAACGCACAGAGGTGAGCATATGTGTGGGTGTGCCTCTAGGAAGGCATGTGTCCCGTATGCAAATACGTGCGTGCCGTTACCAGTCAGTTAGAATTGGCATGTGTACACAAGTGTGACAATCAGTTTCATGCGTCAGCTTGGCTAAGCTGTGGTACCCAGTTACAATCCCACACGAATCTCCACGTCGCTGTGAAGGTGTTTTGCAGGGGTGGTTCACCTCTCCCATCAGCTGACCTTATGCAAAGGCCATAAATCTCAACAATCTGGGGGCCCTCATCCAATGAGACATGAGGCAAAAGGCCCTCAGAGCACCGCCGAGCCTCCCTGAGAAACCTGTGCACCGCGGCTTCTGCCCAAGAGTCCCCGTGGCCTGCACAGCGGCCGTGGGTGCGCCTGGCCAGCCTCAGTCCCGTGAGCCAAGTCCCTGCAAGCAGCCGGGTGTGGGCATACGCATCTCCTCCAGGTCCCATTTCCCTGATTTCTGCAGCACTGTTTCCCCGACCGAGGGAACGCGTGGCTGTGGCATTTTGGGGGTGAGCCTTCCTGGGGCGGTGCCCCCGTCGCTACCCTTCTGGCTCCTGGGACCCTCTCCTGACTGAGACTCCTGGCCAAGCCTCGGAGGATGGGGGAGATGCCAGAGCTCTGCCCTTTGCCCTCTGCCCCCTGCCCTCGTCCCCGACGTGCCTCCAGCCGCTGCCCAGCACGCCCAGCGGCCCACGCCGTGCCCGGGCCCGGAGGGCGGACTCACAGCCGGAGGAGACCATGCTGACGATGATGGAGGTGGAGGTGCTGGAGCTCTGCACCAGCACGGTCACCAGGATGCCCACCACCAGCCCCGCCACTGGGTTGGACAGGATGGCATTGTCCTTGAAGATGTCGCCAGCCACCTTCCCTGGGAAGCATGAGCCACATTGTCCAAAGCCCTTCAGGGACCCTGCCCCGGTCCCTTCCCCTGGCCCTACCTCCAGCCAGCTGGAAGGCGGAGCTGAGCACGTCCAGGGAGCAGACGAAGAGGTAGAGGAAAGCGAGCATCAGCGGCACCTTGAGCAGCGTCACGGTGGCTCGGCGCAGCTTCTGGGCCAGCCCGGGCTCTGGAGACGGGACTCCCGTGAGCGTGTGGCCTGAGGGCTGGGCAGTGGTGGCCGGCGCCTCTGCCGCCCCCCGCCCCAGGCCCACCTGGTTGCGGCTCCTCCTCCAGGGCCGGCTTGGTGGGCAGCGGGTCATGGAGCTCCAGAACCTCCCCGAAGGGGCAGCCGGGCTCGGCCAGGGCCACCGGGCCCAGGCTGGGGAAGGCGTAGGCAGGGGTGCCTGGGATCCTGTGCAGGACTGGGGAGGGAGGCTGGTCAGGAGTCCCCAGAGGCCCCAGGTCCCTGAGCGGGTGGGGGAGGGGGCTTCACATGGGGTGCGGGCACCCGTGGGCCAGCAGGGCCTGCAGATGGGAGCACACTCACCCTGAGGGCTGGGCACGTATGCGAAGGCCGCCCCGCGCATCACGTGGGCCCTGACTGGGAGTGGGGAGACCGCCGGGCTCCCCAGCCTCTCTGCGTAGGACAGCATCCTGGGCACACGCTCTGCGGCCTGCAGCAATACTGAGTGACAGCTGCCCTGTCCCGGACACTCGCATGCCCCCCCCCCCCGACACCCACAGAGTCGCTATCACAAACATTTACGATGTGCGATTACACACCCACACCAGGGGGTGCGCATTCAGGCGGTCAGCACGGATGTGCGCGTTCACTTGCTCACTCGCTCATTCAGCAAGTATTTATTGAGCATCTGTTCCATCCCAGGCATAAACTAGATGCTGGGGTACAGTGGTGACTAAATATGGACACAGCACTTGCCCCCCAAAAGCTCAAAGTGTGGCATGGAAATGTATGTCAATGAAATAACCCCTCAAATAGATGGGAAGTGACAATGAGGACAAGTATTCTAATAACAGATAGGTGCCACCAGAGTGACCGTGGATGGGGGTGGGCCCCTGGGGGTGGGAACAGGGGACCCAGCTGAGAGGAGCCATCATCCTGCCTTACCAGGAGAAGGGGAGGGGCGTGTGCGGAGGCCAGGTCATGTGTGTGTGTGGAGGGGGCCGGGAATGCCCTGCAGCAGGCGTTGTGGGGTCAGGGGACGTGGGGGCAGAGGCCACGGGGTTGGCCAGGGGTGGGGACGCAGGGGCTTTGCCCGTCCTGAGCAGCGAGGAGCCGCGGACACCTGCACGCTGCTGGGCCAACTGGGCAGGCGCCGAGGGAGGGCCCACCAGCCCTCGCAAGTGAATTGGTTCCCCTCACAAGTGAACGTCTTTCCCCATCCACCTCCTACTCCCCACCCCCCAACAATAAACACGCCCCGCCCCCTGTCTCCCATGAATGCGGTTCAGGCCAGGATTGACTTAGGTAAGAAGGCCCCCCAACTCTGTCCCCAAGCCTAGGAAACTGAGGCTTGCTTTCGGGTCCCCGCCCCAGGAGCCCTAGGCTGTTGGGGCCGGAGTGTCCCAGTCTGCCTCGGCGACGCCCGTCCCGTTTCCGACATTGCCGTGGGGTGGGGGGTGTGCTGAGCCAGGTGCCAAGTCCTGGCTGAGCGCAGTCCTTTTCCCTTTGGGGCTAAGCCTGGTGGGGCTGGCATGGAGATGTGACGGGGGGGGCGGGGGGCGGGAAGAGCGGCCCGTTAGGCCCCAGGCGAGGGGCCGGGTGATGGACTGCTCCCCGCGAGTGGGTGTCGGGGGTGAGGTTCGGAGGAGGGGCCCTGGGCTCACCGTGGGGTCCTGTGTTCCAGCTCCTGTTCAGCTGCTCAGGGAAGTCCCAAGGGCCTGGAGAGAAGCTGGGACCCTCCGCTTTATGCACTTGGGTCAGGGGCAAAGTCCCTAGAACCCTAGCTGCCCTCCCTGTGCTCCCCCATTAACCTCGCCCCCGAGATTCCTCCCAGTTAATGGCTAATCGCCGGCTCTGCAGGGGGAGTCTGTGGTCAGGCTCCCCCCAACAGATGCTTAGCCCGAAATGCCGCCCAGACCCAGTGAGGGCCCAGACACCCTGGCCACCCCCGCAGGGACCCTGAAGCCACTCAGGCACCATGTCGCCAGGGTCCCCAAAGATTCTGTGGCTCCAGCCCCTTCCCCTCATTCTTGGCCTGTCAGGAAACCCAAGGAGTGACCCAAACATCCTGTGGCCTTACCATGTGTCTGGGTGTCTGTGGGTTTGTGTGTCCTGGGGGCGTTTGGAGGAGCGGGAGGGGGTGAGCAGTGGAAGAAGCAACAGGAGACTGACCCAGAGAAGCTGCATAGCACGGAATCTTGGAGCGTCTCCAATGCCCAGCCGCGGATCCAGGGTGTGAGCCTAGTGGAATGCGGAGTCCTGGCCAGACCAAGAAGGCCGTCTGCACTTTAGAATGGTCCCGCTGGGGCGGGGGGGGCGGGGCGCTGGGCTGTGTCACAGAGAGCGAGTCTGGAAGCCGAGAGATGATGAGGTCTGAACCAGGGTGGGAACAGGAGGGATGGAGAGGGGAGGGTACATCCCAGAGATACTTGGGCAGTAGGACTGGTGACGGGGAGGGCGGGAGGAAGTGGAAATATATGGCAGTTGCGCTTCTGGGTTGGGAAACTGATGACGATATGGACGTCAAAGGTGTCTAAAGAAGTCTTTGAGAAGTTCGTTCCCCTCTCGTAGTACCATGGAGCCTGAGTTGGGGACCAGATTCCAGAGAAACGAGAAGGAAACTTCCTTTCTAAGGGATCAAGTTTTGATCAGACCCAGCAAGAGTGGGTTCCATTCAAGATCTACTTGGGCAGCTGCCTAACATTGCACATTCATCCACCCATCCACCCACTCACCCATCCTCTTATCCATTCGTCATCTGTCCCTCTGTCTATCCATCTACCAACTCACCTAGCCAGCCAGCTGACCTGTGTCTACCCATCTATTGGGTTGGCCAAGAAGTTCACGTTTGTTTAGTTTTTTTCTGTATGATGGCTCTAGTAATGCTTATCTGTCTTTAACTTCATTTGAAGTAGTTTTGTTAGATTGTATTGTGACACCTTTCATATCACTGTGCATTAAAAAAAAAAAATTAGCACTGGGCTGGTGTGGCTCAGTGGATAAAGTGCTGGCCTGCGAACCGAAAGGTCACCGGTTCGATCCCCAGTCAGGGCACATGCCTGGGGTGTGGGCCAAGTCCTCAGATGGGGGCGTGTAAGAGGCAACCCATCGATGTTTCTCTCACACATCGATGTTTCTCTCCCTTTCTTTCTCCCTCCCTTCCCCCCTCTCTAAAGATAAATAAATCTTTTTAAAAATAAAAAATTAATAAACATTAAAATTGGTGAATTTTTTGCAGCCATTTTAATACTCAAGACAGAAGAAAATGCTTTTTCAGGGTATTATGCTTTATTATTTCAAGAAAGGTAAAAATGCAACTGAAACACACAGAAAGATTTGTTTAGTGTGTGTGGAGAAGGTACTGGGACTGATCAAAACTGTCAAAGGTGGTTTGTGAAGTTTCTTGGTACTATAAACATTTTGGCCAAATAATCCTTTGCTGTGGGGCTGTCTTGTGCGTTGGAAGATGTTTAGCAGCACCTCTGGCCTCTACCCACTAGAAGCCAATACTGGGAGACAGCCAATACACTCAGAATATCCAAATCAATAAAGTTATTGGTGAAAATGAAAAATGTGTCTTTTACGGTAAGAACTAAACAGACTTTCTGGCCAACTCAGTATTTCTAAGCACATTCATTGAGCTCCTACTCTCTGTTGAGCCAAGCTTGGCAAGGTCAACCTCTCTCGGAGTGAACAACGGTCCAGCCCCTGAGTCGGCCTGGGATCCTGAGGCCATCACTTCCCCTCCTTGATAAAACAGCACTCAGCTTGGCTTTGTCAGTGAGCCGTGGAGGGCAGTGTGACAAATGACCCCTCTCTGTGCCCAGAGCAGAGCCCCTCGGTGTTTACTTTCTTCAGGCACTCGTGTGCTTTCTGCTGGCTCCAGGGCGGCAGAGGTGTCCCCTTCGGCGAAAGGGCCCCGCCTTCTCCAGAATCTCAGTCCTGGTTCAGGCCAGCAGCGCCCCTCGGCTTAGCAGCTGGCCTCCGATTGCCCAGGTCCCCTGAGCGGCACTCCTGCTTGACAATGAACACGTCTCAGGGAGACAGAGACCCACCCTGTTTCCACCAAGGAAGATGGAAGTCTGCACAGCTCCCCTTTAACGTGACAAAGGGTAACTAGTTAGGGGTTAATTTGCAGAGCATTGTGGGGTGCTGGTCAGAACAAGCTCTCCATCACATGGCTGAGAACAGAGGACACAGCGAGCCTGGGTTTGGACCCCAGCCCCCCTACCTCCATCGCAGCTGGAGGAGTGGCTGGGCTTGGTTTCATAGAGTGACTGCATGTTCTGGTTTGCCTGGCCAAGCCCGGCTGGGACTGTTGGCCCAATGTCCCCTTTCGCTTTGAAAAGCACCCTGCTGGGGACAATGAGCCGTAGAGTCTTACGGCTTGTTCTGGGAGATACTGGGGAATTGAGGCAGGGAATCAGCCGACAAGCCTCCATTCATAGCAAAAGGAAATTAAAAATAACCCTGGTTCTTAGAAACATAGCTGTAATGTTTAGAGCGTTGCCTTTCATCTTTTTCTGTCTGTCTTCTTCTTTAAACTTTTTATAAGAGTTTATTTGAGCCAAATTGACGACACACTGGGAAGCAAGATCCCAAATGCTCCAGGGAATGACAGTTTTGTAGTCTCTTTTATACTCATACATTTGGAATGAAGGAGGGAACCTCCCTGCCTTTTCTACCCGCTGAGGATTTCCTTGTCTGTGAAAGACTGTATCTTGCCCTTTTTAATCTACCATTATATCAAAAGTCTTTTCCTGTGTCTCTACGCTCAGCACAGATGTGGTTTTTAATGGCTGCATCACATTCCACCATAAACCCTACTTTAGGGAGGAGCCCTCTGGGTGGCCTGGAACCCCTTCGACCTGGAGCGAGTGAAGTGGGTAAGGTTGGATTCACGCAGCGGTGAATTCTTGCGTCGAAACCGTCCTTGTGCTCAGAGGCCCTGTTAAAAGCCCATCAGGGATGGGTCAGAGGCTGCCGGAGCGCCCGCCCCCAGGAGGACCTGCCCCCCCACAGCGTGTCCCGATGCCCCTCTCCCCTGCCCCGCTCACACCAGGCCCTGTGCAGGAGCAGCCATAGCCAAGGCGCTCCTTACGAACGGGGTACTTCTCTCTCTCTCTCTTTCTTTCAGATTTTATTTATTTAGCGAGAGGAAGGGAGGGAGAAAGAGAGGGAAACAAACACTGATGTGAGAGATGCATTAATCGGTTGCCTCTTGCATGCCCCCTGCTGGGGACCTGGCCTGCCACCCAGGCACATGCCCTGACTGGGACTCGAACTAGTGACCTTTTGGGTCACAGGCCGGCACTCATTCCAATGAGCCACACCAGCCAGGGCTGCTTCTCCTGTTCAATAGTGTTATGATCTTTGACAGTTTTGACAGTTATGAACTTTGTAACCCCTGCTCTCATGGGGTTGGTGGGGGAGGCAATGATTGATTACATCCAAAATATTCTCCAAAAT